TCATTCTTGCAATGAACTGAATCTCAAGCGGCTGTGTGGATACATGCAAAGGAAAGTATCTGTAATCGCGGTAATCTTAATCCCAGGAAGTTCAACGCAAAACCTTTTCTTCTCCTCCAAAGGACCTTGGTGGCATTTTTGCTGAAGTATTAGCTTTGCATTGTTTGCTTCGGCCGCCACCAAACGGCTGAACAAGCAGTTTTTTCCTTCTTCACAAGAATCAGTGAAAGCGTCCCATCAGACAAAGGCTCTGCGTTTTGGCAGTTTGTTGCAGAAAAGAATAAAAGTGGAGAGCAGGGGAAACCAATACCTCCTAACTGGGCCACCAGTGCACCAGAGCTGACTGCATTATCCATTGTCTCCATTCCTCACAGCCCCACTTGCCCCGACACAAGTGGCTCACGAACAAATGCAAAGTCAAAATAAATAAACAATCTAATAAGCAGGGGCCTGTGGGGGAAACGCTGAAGATCTCCATTGTGGCGCGTGCTTTATTTGCCCCTTATCTGCTGGGTAGCGAGCGCAAAAGAAGCCTCGTGTAAGCGTTACGATTACATCGTTTGGGTTTGTTACCCAGGAATGTAAGATGCACTCAGCTCATTCCGCAGTGCAACACACAGGGTCCCACACCAGCGCTCCAAAGCATCTCAAGTGGAGAGGTCTGAGGGGCGTCTCGACGCACGCGAGGATAATCGTATTAGCGCCGCTGAAAGCCACTGATAGGCTGTGTTGTTGCGTGTTTGTCCTTGAAAAGAAAAACACAAACACTCCTCATCGGCACAGGCTTTCCCTGTTCCAACGTTGAGCGGGGCACTCGCGATAGCGGCCCAGATTGTTTGCTGATGGAGCGCTATTAAGATCGCGTAAGGACTTTTGTCTGATATGGAAGCAAGAAAAAGCAGAAAATCTGCAGTTGTTGTAACGTGCAGCGTGTACAAGATGATTTACTGATGCAAAGCACGCACCAATAAATCATCTCAATAAATGCATCAACCTTTAACTTTTACAAGGTAGCAGCAGAAAGCGGGACACAGAAACATGTACATGACTGACAGATCAGGATCGCCGGGCCATGTCACAGTACACAAAAGGGTGAGAAGGCCTAGCACTAAACCAGTGTGTGTGTGTGTGTGTGTGTGTGTGTGTGTGGTGGGGTGTGACTAATTCCTGCTAAATGGCCTTTACTTGAGGGGCTGGTCTCCTGTAGACTTAGTGCCATCTGGGCACAACGTTAAGTTTCACTGGCAAATGGGAGCCACAACCACAAATCCCAAGGGCCCCCTGCCTGCCCCCCCCCCACACCACCACCACCACCCTCCACCCCATCGCCTTGCAGGGCCAAAGGCGAGCCGTGCGTGCAGCGTGGAACACGGGAACCTAAGTACCTGGTGTCCATTTGAGTTTTGGAATACCTCCTCATCAAACAGGTCCTCCAACCGCCAGCGAGCGCTTCCACTGTCTCCTTAAGGGCCTCATCCCCTCGCTGACCTTATCCAACGCAAACACACGCAGCCTGAGCCAGCGCATTCCGTTTTATTGCTAGATTCAGCTAATCTTCTTGAAGCCCCCCCCCCCCTCCCCCTCTCTTTGCCCCTCAGTGTTTTAGTTATTCCAGCTGTGCAGGAGCCCTTAATGTTGTTGGCATAGCTGCAAAAATGTGCGAAAACACACATTGTACACGCGGCAAAACATGTGCAAGCATGCAGGGGCACAGTGTGGTGCACACACATGCATGGCACACACACACACACACACACACGCAGAGTCTAATGCTCCTCCCCCCCCCTCCATTCATTTTCTCCCCCCTCTTATCCCACTTTTGCTCACAATCTCCCTCAATCGTCTCCATCTCCCATCTCTCCCCTCCCCTCTAACTCGCCGCGCCGCGCCGCGTTTGTGCCGCGTTGATAAGCCTAAGATAGCAGATCTCGGTGGTCGCTGATGTAATGATGATGAATGCCGTGGTGCTGCCAGTCTCCCCCCTCGGGGGGGGGGGGGGGGGCCCCCCACACTGAAAAGTCCCCCTAATGAAATGAGCACAAATACAGTACCCGGTCCGTGAGGGGGGGGGTTGCCAAATCTAAGAAGACACTTCAAGAGTCGGTCTGAGTTTGCGGGTGTTTGTTTGTGTGTGTGCGCGTTGCATTTTGCAAATGGAATTGCAGGTTCACCTGAAGCTGTTTCATAGAATTAAGCTGGTGCCGATGGAGCCTTTAAGTAACAAAAGCGGTGATTTTTGATAGAGTTAGAAGCCGTGAAGAAAAAAAAAAGAAGAGAAAAACTGTTTGTTTTTTTTTCTATCAAAGGCAAAAGTTTATTTTAGTGTTTCACTTTGATGTGTAGAATTTGCAGATGACTTTCAACTCTGCCTTTGTCACCGAGGCGTATAATTTATGTTAAATTGATTTGCTTAATGTGCTTATAAAATAAGAATGTTTTTTTTTCCTTTTTTTTCCGAGGGAACAGTCTGAATTGTGGTATTTTAAACCTGTTTAATCGCCTCCCTTTCTGTGTGGAAGGATTACAGTTGAGCACAAATAAAGATACACCCTCTTTCTCTCTTCTCTAATTGGGTGTAGGACAGACATTTCATGGGAAAGACATTAATATGAAATGAACATTTATTATGAGTAACAACAGCACCGATGCCTAGTTGTAATTCCTCCTTTTGTGCCAGGCCTCTGTGACACACCACTGATGCAGGGTCGGCGAGGTAGTCCCCATGCAAATGCTTATTCCTCTGCTGTATCATGCAAATGTCTTTTCAAAAATCTGATTTCCCCTCCTGGCTCGTAAGCACATTCGTGTTCCTTCGGTGACGGTTCCAAGTGCCGAATGGAAAAAGACGTTTAAAGAAGATTTTTTTTTTTTTTCCCTCGTGGGGATAAAACTTTTTCACACGAAGACGCATTCCTTCCATAGCATCTCGATGTAAACACAGATGGGAAGAATTGTCTCTGTTGCCGCTGAGTGTCCGGGGTGTTTTTCGGAGAGTTGGACCGGGGCAAAAAAAGGGAGCGGAGACGCGGAACATCTGCAGGATCGTGGGTGTGGGCGTCCAGGCCAGAGGGATTATGGGTGAAAAGGTCCTGCTTTTAATTGCAGCCTTGGAACTGTGGCCTGCCTGGCGGGAACACAAAAGGCCGGTCGGACACGCTTCAGTGACTCGAATATTTGCCCAACCAGAGGAATGCCCCGCTCTCCCCTCACCTCCGCTACAAACTCCCAACGCCCCCCCTTCCCCCTTCCCACCTTCCCCCAGTATCCCCTGCACTTTCTCTCTGTTATTTTAGCGCCAGTCTGAATCACCTGGGGGGGCGACAGGAAGACACACACATTGCATGTCAACTCGCTACACACGCAAAGCGTGTTGGGAGTCATTCCGCCACAGCCTGAAAGTATAGCCCCCCCCCCCACCGGTTCTTGCCCCTCATTCACTGCTGTTGGTCAAGTTTAGTCATTAGAACGACGTCACCACAGTTTCACAGAAGTGAGACAAAAAACAACAACAACTAAACTTCCAAAAAGTCTTCGCAGGTGAAAGTGAGCGAGGTGGATTTTTTTGCGATCCGACGACACACGATGTTAACGACCAATCGGCCGCTCGCACTGCAAAGGGGTGAAAGACCTTTCGATGGCGTCCGTGCGCGCAGGACAAACGCGCCTTTGGTTGGGCAGGGCGGCTACGCTGCGTATTCACGTGGGAGTGATTTAGAGGACGAGCTCTTGTTTAATTCTGTTTTGTTTGGTGGGGGGGGGGAAGTAGTTGCATTGTTTTCTTTCCCCCCTTTTCGCCAGCAATTGCTTACAGATGATGTTGTCGGGTCAGAATGGATGACAGACTCTGGCTTTTTCAAAAAACAAAAAACAAAGCACACAGTGTTTGTCTGAAGTTTACCCCTCACCACTTCCCCCCTCGCCTCCCCTCCTCGGGGAGTTGGTAGAAATCAGCAGCACTCCCCTGTTTGTATTATAGCTGACTTTACTGCTGGCCTTTGCGTGTTTATAGGGTGGAGGACAATTAAATAGTACAGTTGGGTAATCAGCCGGTCTTTATTGGAAAGAAAATGTTAGTCAGACTAAATATTTCCACTAATTATCCATGAATTATGGAGACTAAGTGGAGGCTTTGTATTTGTGCAAATGAAGCCGTCCTGTACTTTGTTTTAAATGAGGGGTTGTGGCGCATCGCCGCGTTGTCTCCATAATCAGAGACCTCCTTGACCTAGATGGAGTGGAGTTTGTAGACGGCCTCTGAGGCGCTGAACGGAGCAGCATGCCTGCTAGACTGTTGGCTGAACCCTTTCTAAACCCACAGACAGTATTAACTTGAACCACCTTTATTCTTTGAAAGAAAAATTGCCCGGCACCACGATATTCCCAAACGGGCCTTCAAACAACCCTTGTTTTTTCAGGACTGTGAGTGTTTCTCTCTCTGTGGTATCCCCTCAGGGTTTCTCCTTTCTCTCTGGAAACACTGCAGGATTATCAGTATATCCACAAGCTGCCTTTACTTCTATTCTGAGATATAAAAGCTAGTCAGGATGTCCCGCCTCACTGGGTGTTTATAGAGGTTTTTTTTTTTACACGGAGTCACAAGTTTAGTGTGATATGGTTAAAAATAAAGGTAAGCTAAATTTTGTTTTGGGGAATTTTTAAAGCGCAGTTAGTGGGGAGGCCGATCAGAGCCCAGCGGGCTTGAGTTAAAGTAAATCAGGGTGAGCTGGTGGATTGACCCGTGGTCTGCTCTGGGCATCATGAAAAGGGAGGATTGGATCTGAAGTTTTCTCGCACTGGGTTCTCACTGTTGAAGTCTTTTCTTGAGGCGCTCTTTTGTTAAAGCTTCAATCGAGCAAGAAATGCTTAATTTTTTGCATCTTAATGCACAAATGAAACTGATTCTGTGTGAGAAGCGCTTGAAAAGCAGAGAAACTGTGTGCTCCGTCCCTTTTTAACTCACTTTCGGCCTTCCCTCCCCCCCCCCCCCCCCCCTCCAAAAGTTATCCCGTCTCCATGAGTTGCTGAGGAATGAGCGATCGCCATGGAGACCCACTCCCAGGCCAGTTCAGCAGCTGAGAAGAAGAAGAGGGTGGAGACCATTGTGGCGACCAAGGGCTCATTAGCGCGCAATGACATCAGCGAGAAGGCGGTGGCCTCCAGCACCACCTCAAACGGTACGCGCCTCCTCTTGACTGCACGCCGCGGTTCATGTAAATGTCGTTTCGGCCTGTTGGAATTCACCCAGTTTTGAAGAGACCGGGCCAATAGGCAGCTCAACAGTTTTGAGTAATGGAAAAAATTAGGCACAGGTAAAAAAAAAAACCGCACAGCAGATACTCGGTAAAGTATTAAACCTTTTAGACACATTACTTCGAATACAATCCAACGACAACCTCTACAAAAATAATTCTAACTCTCAATTGGACTTTGAGTAACCGGTTTTATTCATCTGTACCCTGAAGCGTGCAGCTTTTTGTTCTCAGGCATTTTCCCGATGCTTTCCAGACCTCTGCGTGCTGGAGGCGGGGGGGGTGTGGCCACCATACGTGGCAACATACTTCAGCATTGGGGCCACTGACCCACTGGGGACGGAGGAATGTTATTTTTGCTTATGTTCTCATTACTTCAAGATGAAACCAACCCCCGAGAGCATGATGTAAAGATGTAGACACACACATGTCCTCGCTCACGTTACTCATGTTTACTTTCCCCTTTATTCTCGTGGTGAGTCACACGCAAACCTGACTGGTAGCGAAGCTTTCTTGGCATGTTTACCCGGCCGATGTCTTTAACACATGCGATTAAAAGCTGCGGCGCAGGCTTACAGTTCATCAAGCCCGTCGCCGTTCAGCCGCTCATCGTTAATTCAGATGCTGGAGTGGGGAATATTAAATAGCAATTTTATTTTCAGTTTGGGCTGGAAAACCTTGCAGCATCAAGCTAAAGTCATAACAAAACCAGGGTTGAGATCACCGCGGTCTAAGCTGCAGCTGTGCTCATTAGCGGTGAGAGGATTTGGAGGTTTTGGGGGGTATTGCTGGCTCTTGTAGCTGGAGCTGGTGGCCCGGTGGTGGGGGGGTTCTCTGTCACCCCCCTCCTCGACGCTGCTGATGTCAAATGTGATCATCCCAAGTGCAAAGAGGAGACAAACAATCCAGGAAGGGGTAAATATGTCGCTGGGACTTGCAGCCCATATGGGAGTTATCACAGTATGTGGGTAAGGTAATGCATCCTTAAGCATCTTACTCACTCCCAGATGGCCAGCACTTTTTTATTAATTAAAGGGGCAGCGCAGGGGGGAAAAAAGAGGTTTGTTGTGGAAAAAGCATGGATGTAATTTGGCTCCGTGATTGTGGATCCTTCTCCGTAATGTGCTGGTAATTATTGCTCTGAACAGCCTGCGTTTGTCTCCCACGCCGGCCCGCGCCTCAAGAGACACTACGGCTTTAAGAAATGTCGCACCATCCCCAAAATACAGTAGTCTCATAATTCACTCAACGAAGGGACGGATGATACTGATCTGCGGAGAAAAGGTTCCTTTTAGATCCCAATCGGCCTCCTGGAATCAGAAGATAGCTTACACATTCTTTGTGTTTTTATAATTACGGCACATTCCGCAAGTCGGCCCCCAGAACTCATAACCTCTTATCAGGTGTAACCCTACACTCGCCTCAACTTTAACCCCCGTAGCCCCGTAGCCCCACCGCCTCCGTCCAAACAAAAGGTAATTGTGAGCAGCTGTGGAACCCCAGCGACTGGTTCGTCTTAGGAAGGCCAGGCGGAATATTTCCCCCCGCCGGGCAGCGTGGCGGCCCCCCGATCTCAGGGCCCACGGCAACGTCATGCTACCATGAGCTGTGAAAAGGGGAGAGTAAGTAGGGAACGGGGGGTGTGGATGGAATGGAGCTCTGGCTTTCCGACAAGACAAACGATTTTCTCATGATCCGGATCGGTTTTGCACGTTGATCAGATCTCGCGGTCGGTCGGTTCTGATCACCGAAACCGAGCTTCTGTCTTGGAAACAGATTTGGCTCTTAAATCTCCCCCCCTGCCCCCCGCCCGCCCCGTCCCCCTTTCTGTGCACTACAAGGAGGAATGCTCTGTCCTCCACTCTGAGCTTCCCCTCTTGTCCCTGAGTTTTGTCCCAAGTTGAGCAGGCCCAGAGTAATTATTGAGTCCGGGTCGAGCGTTCCCACATGGTTGGCTAAATGGTGGCTTCATCCTGTGTGCCATTCATCTCTGTGCCCCCTCCTCTCGCACTGACAGCTCAAAAGAGCCGACTGTGCCACAACAATGCTGTGATTGGTGCTCTTTAGGAGGGGTTCGGGGGTGGGGGTGCTCTCGCCTCTTTTCCCTCCCACCCTCGTCATTCGGCAGGCAGGTGGACCACAAAGTCCCCTGATTCTTTTGTTGGGTCTTGAGCTTAAAGGAAAAAGATGTCCGTGCTCCGCGGCTGAATAAATCCTGTCGTCATGGGATAATTTACTAATAAAAAAAAGGAGGGGGGGGGGGACATGGGTGCTGAGAGATTGGTTATTTGCAAAGGAGAAAATTATTGTTTTTGGTTGTACTTTTCGGATACAACATGAGTGATGGTGACTGACGCGGTGAGTGTAAGTAAATACAATGATAAAAAAATGGGAAGCAGAACAACTGGAGACCCTTCAGAGTTTCTGTGGAGCAGGTTGTGGAAGTGGAAGAATCGGGACCCTTTTAATGGTCATGCCTTAAAAAGGGCCAGAGGAAGGGCCCTCAGAGGCAAACAAGTTAAGCCTTAAAGGGCAACGCATGTTAGGCCTTCGTGTAGGTTACCAGAGAAATCCCTGAGCAAATGGAGAGCGTGGCTAAAGTGTTTAAAGAAGAAAAGAAGCCCTTGACTGCTTTGATGGGAGGAGGCGGAGGAATGATGCAGAGAGAGGGGGGGGGAGATAGAGGGAGAGTGAGGGGCCACCTTCCTTTTTAAGGCAACCATTTAAATGATCAACAGTAAATAGAGGGGAATGTCATCTGACAGAAATAAAGTTCCCGTTAACAGCGGGGATGGAAAGTAATTTACAGATACGCTGTCCCCCCGCCATCTTTGTGCCTCCCAGATAAGGTTTCATTTCAGAAACGGATAGGAGACATTTTCACTTACGGGCCCCCATTCTGGGACACCTGTGATAACAGCTTGTGGACCCCTAATTGAAAATGGGTTTCAAAATGGATTTTCACTTTTCTTCCAGCCTCCTTCCTCCTCCTCCCCCCCTCTCCTTCTCCATTCCCTCCCTCCCTCCCTCCCTCATGACTAACCCCCATCCACCCCCCCCACCTCCGTCAACACCCAGCTCCATCGCCTTCTTCCTCGGCGTTCCCTCGCCGTTGGCAGAGGGAGGCGATGTTAGAAAGACAGGGAGGGAGAGGGGAGGGAGGGAGGGAGGCTTCGGGGAAATGGAGCACCGGGAGTGGATCATCCCTCAGCCCGTGTCACAGCTCTGACAGCCGCGTGATCCGTCTTATTAATGAAATCATTGATCACTTGATGGGACTCATAATCAACTGTTTCTCCACTGTGTCCTGCCTCATCTCCTCCTCCTCCTCCTCCTCCTCCCTCCTCCCTCCTCATGCTGCCACCTCTGCTTTTACACGTTCTGTCCCTGTTGTGTGTCCCCTGAAAGATGATCGGATCTTCCTTTTTGTCTAACTGCGGGGGAAAAAAAATGATTAATGAATACATTAAATTAACAAGATCACCCAGACGCTGCCTGACAATAAATGCTGACTAGTGATTCCGCGCGGGGATTTAAAAAGGACATGAATGGCAGCACATATATCTGCTTACTTCCTTAAACTGGCCTTTAAATAAATGCACTTAGTAGTTTGTTCATCACTGCTGCTAAAAGGTGACATCTGTCATCTGTATTGTTGCTGTATGTATTTCATGGGGACCAGAGGAGGAAGCAGGGGCCCCTCTGTGTTACCCTACTCGGGGCTCTGCCTGTGGGGGCTAATGAGAGAGGACTGATGGAGGGATAAGGGACCTCATGGGAGCGCTGGCTGGCCCACGGGTCAAACAGCACAATGGAGGAGGCGTTATAGAGCCTGACACACAACCCCACACAGGAAAACTGTCTTTTAGTGTCAAAAGATCCCTATATGGTACATAAATATTGCATAAAATCCAAGCAGCTATGCATAGAACCCCCCCCCCCCCAACACACACACTAATTTAACCATAACATTGCTGTTTTCATGGCAGCACAACATGCGGTTCTAGGGATATATAGCATCAAACATCTACCTGTAGATTTGGGTTTGGAAAGTCACTCTGGTCCCATGTGCACACACTGTGGATGTGCTTTGCCTTCACTGGCGAGCCACAGCCATTTCATGGTCTTCTGCACTGAAGGCAATTTCCTGCAGCGGCAGGGGGACAGGCTTTGGCACAGCCGCCTCGCAGGGGCCCGAGGCACAGGATTAGCTTAGCCGCGGCGCTACTCAGGGCGGAGGGGAACCTCAGCTGGCCGGCCCGGCCTGGCCTCTCTCGTCTGGCACCGGATCCGCCTGCCGGAGCTCCGCTGCTCCCTCGCCGTTAGAGGATGCGCACGAGCCACTGCCGCGAGAGTTCTGCACGCCGTGGAGACGCAGCCAGGAGGCAGCTGTACTGGAATTGCATTGTTGTTTTGTTTTGTTTTGGTCACTGATCATCATACTTGTTTTTCCCCCCGTCGGCCGTAACAGGACACGTTACTTTTGCACGTTGAACAGGTCGAACACGTCCGACAGATACACGTCTATGGTGAATACAGCAGTTCAGAGGTGAACCAGAAATTTAGTGACTGTGTTTTGTTACTCACATAAGTGGCGGCAGTTTATAAAAAACCTCTATGATTGTGCTCGTTGTTTGGACTTCCAAGACATACATATGCTGACCCCGGCAGTTAACTTGATAAATGGGATTGTTACCAACAGAGGTCACGGCCAAAATAAAAAGTCAACGTGTAATTTCACTTAAATTCGACTCCAATCTGACACCTCTGTGATTTATTCAAAACTGTAATACATTGTGATAGTTCATGCTGACTGCCACAAAAGGTCCTCGGGGCGAAACCGAGATCATTGTCACAGACACGCTGAGCGACAGAATGGCCCGGGTGAGTCGGGGGTCACCCGGGTCAGAGGAAAGTCTCTGAGC